TCTTGAAACTCTTAAAATCACTCGTTAACGAGAAGGAAGCACTAGAACAATAATATATATATATATATATATATATATATATATATATATTTACAACTAGTATTTATAAAATACTATAAAGAGAATATTTATCAATATCTATTGTTAGAACTAAGGGTGAAACACATTGTTCTTATAATTTTTTGTGATAATTTGAGTATTGTTTCACTTACTCATATTTTAATCTCCATGATTGTACCAAGCTTCCATCTTCGTACAAAATGATGAATGTTTTCGTTACTAGTGAGAAGGTTCTTACCAAAATCCTACGAGTTGTTCATGTTCCCTGTTTATGATTTATATGTTGATACTTTCATAAAGATTATTCCTCCTAAACTTGTATTATGTGATATCTCTTATCTACATCTTGATTACTCATTATTAAACTTCCACAACAAGAATTTTACATATTAGCTATGATGCATTCCGTAGCTATTTTATAGCTAATCTCTCACTGATACGTTTTGCTACAGATTAGCTACGGAGTAGCTGTGGAATATTTCGTCGCTAAATCCAAGTAGCTAATTAGATAGAGATGTATTCTCTCTCAAATTTGTAGCAACTTTTGTCGTCAATCTGTCGCTAAGTCCTTCGCTAATTTAAGTGATAAAATGTTGTCTTTCTCTAGCTAATTGATCTCCTAAATTTCTAGTTAATTTGTAGCTAATTCGTAGCTAATCCCTCTCAATTTTTCTCTTGTTAATCTCTCGTAATTTCGCTCTCGCTAATTCATAGCTAATCCCTCACATTATTTTATCACTAATATGTAGCTAATTTCTGACAATTTATCTCTAGCTGATCTGTAGTTAATTCCTCGCAATTTTGCTTTCGCTAATTCGTAGTTAATCCCTCGCAATTTTTCTATCACTAATCTCTGACAAATTATCTCTAGCTGATATGGAGTTAATTCCTCGCAATTGTTTCCTCACTAATCCGTAGCTACTTCTTCGCAATATTTCTCTCGCTATTTCGTAGCTAATTCCTCACAATTATTTGTCGCTACTATATATCAAAATTATTCTCTCGCTAATCTGTAGTTAATCTCTCGCAATTTTATTTGCAAGTAATTTCCTAATTATTATTATTGGCGTAGTAGATATTCTTGCTATAATATCATCATAACATTATAATATCAAATGTTTAATATTTAAATAATTACTCATATTCTTGAAAAAAGAAAACAAGCCTATCAATTTTTAATATAAAAATATTGTTTAAACATAGTCAAAATGATGTTTCGAATAATTAAAACATAACAAAAATAATATTTCAACTAAAATGTTCTATATCAACTAAAAAGTTTTATATCAACGCAATTAAAAATAGAAACAAAATTTTGATTCTTTAAAGCACATTTTCATCATTGTTTCTTTAAGGTAGATAATAAATTTTTCTTAAAAGACTGCATTTATTTTTGTATTTGTTGTTACATGATTGTTTGCATTTCGCTTATGTCTTCATTTATGTTTGCATCAATGTTTTTATATCAGTTTGTGCTTACAACTATATTTTCATTTGCTCTTGCAAATTAGATATCTATGTAGATGATGTAGTGATTTCTTCAGTGAGAGATGCGGTAAGATTTTGGGAAGAGGGACCTTTAACTGATAAAGATGAAACATGTGAAATACCAAGATCCAAACTCTGACTTATACCATAAATTCTACCTTTTTATTTTCACTAGCAGTTTTTATTCAAATATCAGAATCAACTATAAATGATTTGATATATCTTCCCCATATTTTTCCATCATAGCATTTTTATATGATTCCTACATCAAAACAATATTTTATCAATATTATAAATAAACAAAATCATTGGTAAAATAACATAGACAACAAATCTTTCGTTAGCTCTGATTTTACTAGTAATTTTTAATGTCAACTCCATTGGGTGAGATTATCAGCCCCTGACATCAGAAGACAAATGAGACATCTCATTGACTTGATTTTTTCTTTTTCTTTTTCTGTTGCAGACAAAAGGAGTACAAACTAAGGATTTTGAAACTATATCTTATGAACAAGGGGAGCAACAAGTCAATTAGTTACTAAAGCAAATAAAATAATACCATTAATTAAGAAAATTAATAACAAGAAGTTTTCTTTAGGTAAAGAAGAAAATTGGAAAGACTTGGGAGTAAACAAGTTATTTGGGACTAAAATATAATAAATATAATAACATGATTATCATCATTTACTCAGATTTGAACCTATTTCACACCAAACCAACAATTCTTTGCTATGTCTGATCAGCTACAGAAAAAAATATAGATTTAAAATTTATGCATTCAACCTTTTTTTTTTTCCTTTAAGATCAATGAATCAAATTTTACGGAATGTATTTTTTCTACCTAACAGAGTAAACTAACTCACTAAAATACAGACAATTATCTTGCTTTTAAAAACCATGAATTGAAGCCTAACCTGCATCTTTATAATTTGGCCATGCATACGATGATCCAATGAAGTATTGGTTCTCAATATAAATAAAGTGTTGAGCAGATCTGATTGCTTGAATATATGTTGTTTGAATGCTTTTGTCTATAACTAAATTTTTAGCACAAATAAGATTCTGCACACAAAAATTGTTGATTAGAAAATATGGGATACAGTTCCATATATAAGATCATATACTCAATATATATGTTTGATTTGGAAGCATGTAGTAAAGAGTTTCACTTAATATATTTGTAGTTTTATGTAAACAAGAAAGTATAATGCTTGTTGATAAACCTTGGACAAAGCAACATCAACATGTTTGGGAAATCCTTTCAGGGACCCTGAGTCAATGGAGCGGAAGATCTGTAAGAGTTAGAAGACAATATAATAAAACAAATTATATCTAAAATCAAGAAAGAATAGCATAAGATTTGCTCAAAACTAAGCTTGCAGTGTCAAACCTGAACATGCCAGTTTTCAGGATCATTTTCACTAGAAACCCATATCGAAGGGTCATCCTTTGGAACAATTGTATAATTATCCTTCAAGTGAGAAAACATCTTTTAGTTGTTCCTGTTTTTGATTTGTAAACACTTGTTTTGAAAACAATTTTCAGAACTTCGTAGATTTTATAAGAGAAATTGATCCTTGAGTAGTGTGAATCAAACCCTGAATGATACAAACAATTGTTTGTTGCTTTAAGAAACTCATCTTGCTGCTGGCATACCAAGGCGACAAAACACACATTACTGAAGAATGTTTAAAAAACTTCCTGGTTTCCTCGTCATGAGTCCGCATTACACCAGTCTACACAAAAAGTATCAGAGCAATCCAGAACCAATCAAACATTCTCACCGATTACAAAAAGGAAACAATGTAAAATGTCAATGCCAAGTAGAGCAAAATCCTAATCATCTTGAGTAAAATCTTATCCTACGCGTGATAATCCTCCTATGTTGATGCGTCTGCTGACTTTCGCCGTAGACAAAAACGTCATCAGAGTGGAATTTGATAATGTCTCAGGCTGTTACGCAGCCTCAGAATGTATTATTACATTATTACATTCTAATTCATATTATTAAAGTTAAAAAATACATTTTTCTTGTGTATTTTCTCATGTAATCATATTTTTGTTATGTTAAAGATAAATAATAATGGTTAGGGATTATTGAATGTTAGTTTGTTAGAAATAAATGCATCAATTCTCCAAATAATAGATTAATCAAGGACAGAGGGGCTACCGTATAAAAAAAATCAAATTCTATTAAAAAATAATAATTTCTCGAAAAATTATTTATTAGGATTAATTCCTCTAATGTTCTGTTCCGCCACAAAAATAATGTTTTTATATATTTTTTTGAAATAATAAATCTAATTTATTAAATAAGTGTAACATAAATATGTTGGATACAATGATAAAAGAAATACTACTTATGTTACATCCCATCGAGATTAATTTAAATTTTTTAAACATTTTAAAACTAATTTTTAAAATTTAAATTGACAGGGGTTGGGTGTAAAGTGTCCTATAAGTGGTTTTTGGAGTCCGCCATCGAATCCCCTTCTACTGTTCCATTGTAAAAAGTGAGTAGATGAATTGAGTCACTTTTCCATGTTCTAATTGAACATTTCCCTTTTGATTTTTATGAAATTTGACCAAGCATAAGTGGATCTATTTAACTGGCACAGTCTTGATTATTTTTACTAAAGAGACTTGTATTTGGGGATATCAGTGACCATAATGAGAAAAGTGGGTGAGAAAGGAAGGATTGAAAAGCCAGGACCATTAAATTTCGTATTCCTTTCTTTACTTTTTTATGATACACCTCTTCAAACAAAATATCATCCATATATACACAACATCATTATACGCAACATCTCATATCAACAGTATCATATTTGTCATACATACAAGTAGGGGGAATGGGAAATGTAGCCGTTTTCATAATCACGCACTATGATTTCATAATTGTTTCTGTTTTTTCTTTTGGTAGTGGAATCACCAGCAAAAGAGATTATTATTGATTTTTGTGAGTGTCAGTTTATAATTATATTAATTTTCATAAAACTTGAGGATTGTAAGCATTAAGGAGGAAAAATTCATTGTTTTAACGTTTTTTTGTCTAGAGAAATGGGCCACGTCTTTTATTATGTTCATCCTTCATTAACTGAAGACTTAGGCCCATGTTTTCTTTTTTTAAATTACAATTTATTTTAAAAAATTAATCCATATTAAATTTACTTTAAAAAATTTAATTTAACAATTTACCAGATTCTCTTCAAAGTTTTGTAGAATCAATGTTTTAAAACAGTTTAAGAACATAATGGCAGGAAATGAAAAACAACCACAACCAGCCTCAGTTATGCAGGCTTTCATCGGGTCCAAAATCCAAATACCAGATATTTATTTCGGGTTAAAAATAGCCCAAAGCCCAAAAATCCCCTTTCGTCGTCATCTTCACCATCGCACTAACTAAACCCTCTCTGAACCCTATCCAATTCCAAACCCTATCTCTCTCTAACATGGCTCTCTCCAAAGCATCCTTCTTGACGCACCTCAGAGCCGTGGCGAACCCTCGCCGGTATCCTCCCTCTTCCCTCTCCCTCCGCATGCTCTCGTTCTCCTCCCCGGAGGAAGCTGCGGCGGAGCGCCGCCGACGCAAGCGGCAGCTTCGCATGGAGCCTCCTCTCTCAGCCCTGAACCGCACGCAAACCGCACCAAAAACCCAACAACAAACCCCCTACTACCTGAACCCTAACAACCCGAAGCTACCGGAACACGTGTCCGCCCTCACCGGCAATCGGCTGAACCTGCATAACCGCATTCTCACCCTCGTCCGCGAAAACGACCTCGACGAGGCCGCTCTCTACACGCGACACTCTATCTACTCCAACTGCCGCCCAACCATCTTCACTATCAATGCCGTCCTCGCGGCACTCCTCCGCCAATCCCGCTACGCAGACCTCCTCTCCCTCCACCGCTTCATTACCCAGGCCGGCGTCGTCCCCAACATCATCACTCACAACCTCGTCTTCCAGACCTACCTCGATTGCCGCAAACCCGACACAGCTCTCGAACACTACAAGCAGTTCCTCAACGACGCCCCCATGAACCCTTCCCCAACCACTTACCGTATTCTCATCAAAGGCTTGGTCGATAACAACAAGCTTGAGCGTGCCATGGAAATTAAAAGCGAAATGGACTCTAGAGGTTTTGCGCCTGACCCTCTTGTTTACCACTACTTAATGTTGGGTCATGCTAGGGTTTCCAATGGTGATGGCGTTTTAGGGCTTTATGAGGAGCTGAAAGAGAGGTCGGGTGGGGTTGTGGATGATGGGGTTGTTTTTGGTTGTTTGATGAAAGGTTATTTTATTAAGGGGATGAAGGAGGCTATTGATTGTTATGAGGAGGCTTTGGGGAAGAAGATGAGTGCTGTGGGTTATAATTCGTTGCTTGATGCGCTCTCTAAGAATGGGAGGTTTGATGAGGCGTTGAGGCTTTTTGATAGGATGATGAAGGAGCATGAACCTCCCAAAAAGTTGAGTGTTAATTTGGGTAGCTTTAATGTGATTGTGGATGGTTATTGTGGTGAAGGGAGGTTTAGGGAGGCGATTGAGGTTTTTAGGAGGATGGGGGAGTATCGGTGTAGCCCAGATACTTTGTCCTTTAATAACTTGATTGAGAGGTTGTGTGATGATGGGAGGGTCGTCGAGGCGGAGGAGGTTTATAGGGAGATGGAGGGGAAGGGGGTAAATCCTGATGAGTTTACTTATGGGTTGTTGATGGATGCTTGTTTCAGAGAGAATAGGGCTGATGATGCAGCTGTGTATTTTAGGAAAATGGTGGACTCAGGGTTGAGGCCTAACTTAGCTGTTTACAATAGGTTGGTTGATGGGTTGGTTAAGGTGGGGAAGATTGATGAAGCCAAGGGTTTCTTTGAGTTAATGGTAAAGAAGCTCAAGATGGATGTTGCTAGCTATCAGTTCATGATGAAGGTGCTGAGTGACGCGGGGAGGTTGGATGAAATGCTTCAGATTGTTGATACGTTATTAGATGACACTGGGGTTGATTTTGATGAAGAGTTCCAAGAGTTCGTCAAGGTTGAGTTGAGAAAAGAAGGGAGAGAAGATGAGCTGACCAAGATGATGGAGGAGAAAGAAAGGCTCAAAGCTGAAGCCAAAGCTAAGGAGGCCGAGGCAGCCGAAGCTGCCAAAAGAAGTGCTAGGGCTGCAGTAGCTTCCTTACTTCCATCCAAGTTGTTTGGAAACAAGGAAACGGATTCAGAATCTAAGTCAGAGGGTGATATTCAACCTCTCAATAAAGAGAGCTCAGATTATACTGCTTCTGAAGCAGCGTTGACAGAGAAAACGACTGAAACTGAGGGTGATAGAGCAAGTGAACAATGAACAGCTTAAAAAGTTGCAATTTCTTGTCGCTTAATGGGCAGGTATAATAATGACTTAATGATGCTTGGATGAGGAGGTATGGTGTCTGTGTCTCTTTACCAAAATAGTTTTGAATCGTCAATCTATGTTATCAACATTTTGAATCATACTACATGTAGTTACATTTGTTGGAAAGGATTATGCAATTTATGGTTTTCCCATTTTACAGTGCCTTACTATGCCTTCTTTAAGGTTGAAACCCCCTGTACTGGAGCAACAAGATCAGCCATTGGAACTAACTATGCATTTTTTATTAGTGTTTCGCTGGGAAATATGATGGATTTTCTTGAATTAGAAGTGAAGTAATATTAACATTTGGTATAGATGACATTTTAGAACATAGAAGAAAGATGAAGCAACTTATGTTATTAGTGAGTTGGGAACATTATGGTACGTAAAAAGCGTGCCTTTTTTCGCTGTTCTGCTACCAATGAGCTCCTTGAAGCGTACCTCTATTATGTTCAAACAAATTTTAGAGTTTGGGATGGATTGAAGTATTATTTTACAATCCATTGTTGTTAATTTTATAATTGATTATACATAAAAGAATTATGTACGAAAAAGTCGTTTTATGAATATCTATTCTGTTTAGATTGTCCAAAATAAACTTATGCTAAATTTATATAAAAAATAAGTGGTATGCAGTTATTTGCAATGGTTAATTTTGTATATATACATTGATCAATTGATGAGGTGGAGAGATAATATGGAAAATGTGCAATTCATTGGCGATGGCAATCGAGAATTATTGTACGGTTTAAAGAAAAAAACCACCCATCTGGAAAATGTATTGCAAAAGCAGTTGGGCTATAACTGGAATGTGAAATAAAAAAAAAAACTGTTAGCAGTCGAGGAGAAAGTTATTAGTTACGTATTATTGGTAAGGAAAAAATGTTTTGGTAGATAGTTTTGTTTCAAATTGATGAATTAGTTTTTAAATTATAAAAAAATGTGATTTTTTTCTAATGTTGTTTAGTTAAAAATTGTTATTAAATGTTAAGTTTAATTATAAAATAGTTGACATTATATATTTGTAAAATTTAGAGTTGATTTATTAATTTAAAAATACATTTTAACAAAAGTACATGAACTATATAATATATATATATATATATATATATATATATATATATATATATATATATTTAGTCTAGTTTACTGAGTTTTCCCTTTTTCTTTTTTGAAAAGTTTTCATACTTTTTAACTTTTATTTCTTTTAGCAATTTCAAAATATTCCACATCACATAACCAAAGAAACTTCAAAATTTAATAAATTATAAATTACTAAAGAAAATTAGGTTTTTAGCATACAAGAGTCTTTCAATATTAGTTTTCTTCTATTAAAACTCGTCCCGAGGCTAGAATTGAATACCTGTTAGAATTTATTTTCATGCAAAACTCTCCCCATCTACACATTCAAAAACTCATTGAAAAAAACAAGTAAGCTAGAATTTCCCTCGGCTTAACTCAGATGTTCAGAGAAAGAAATAAAACAAATTCCAATAAAAAAAAATTTAGAGGAAGAAAATCTTGTTTATTACACAGATTATAGAGCCACTTTGGTGCCTTAACCTATTACAATAAGGACGAAGTTGGTATAAATATATATATATAGCCCAAATGAGTGTCCAAAACACAGATACACGTCAACTACAGAGATTTGGCATGCACACACCGGCATCCGAATTCTGTTGTTCTTTCCATATTCTTCCAGTAACTCTGAGTTTCAGCTCCTTTCTGTCCCCACCAGAGAAAAATAGGGCCATATTTCTTTGAATAATGAGCCCATCATGGCTATCCCTAACTTTACGGTGGCTATCTCGAACACTCCGTGGTGTACCCTCCCAAATGAGTTTCCTACCATTGGCTCCAACCTCTAGGCTGTAGCTATAATTCCGAGCCTCATTCTCATCGCCCATAAAACGAAGGAATGCCATGTAAACAGGTGCCATGCCCAGTTGGAACGCTTCAAAATGAAGGCAGAAATATTGGCCAAAACAATGAAATACCTACCAAACAAAACGAGTTTCCAAAATAAATAATCAGAGGAAATGAGGAGTATATGTTAAACTGAGATAAGATTACATGTTGCAACTACATGATGAATTGAAATAAAAAATTATTAATCAGATGGAACCAAATTTCAGTCAAGTAAGGGCCTGATAATTGTGAGTTCCCTTAGCTCTTCCCACATCAGTGCTCACCCTCTTCCAATATTTCAAAAATGAAAGAAAAAACAGATAAAAAGATGTACTAGATACACTTACTGTGAGCATCCAGGTTGCATTCTCTACTTCACGCGGATTTGACTTCACATAACGATGGTTGAATGTGCAACCTGTGTGCATGTCCACTTTATGATCGTCCCTTAGATGAGCAACAAGGAAGGGAATATCCCCGACAACAGAACACTCCGATCCAGCATAAGGGCAAGTATATGGTCTATAGTTACACACTGTCTCATGCTTAAGCTTGCTGTAGTATGGAAAGATTTCTGGACACCCAAGGGAGAAGTACTTGCAAGGTAGTTCAAGTGATTCAGCCACCTTTTCCAGTGCCAGACACCTAATATCTCCAAGCTCTTGTCTACAAGTGGGACATCGGTTATGCACCCTTGTTTTACACGTGGAACACAGTGTGTGACCGTTGTGACACTGCAAAAAATCTAAATTTGTTACATTTTCTCCCCCTTTCAGGCATATATACATACAGTACACTTTTTTGCAGCTTCAATTATGACAGGATCAACTACTGCACGACTTGAATGAAAAAATGAACACAAGAATTGTAGAATCAAAGATTGGATCAAGTTTCAAAGATGGGAAGAAATTCACTAGCATCACTCTTTGTGGCTGTAGTTATGTCAACCTGCAAACAAATATTGACAATTGAGCACCTAAGGACCATGATTCTGATGAATGAACCTCGTTATCAACTAGTAACTATTTCATATTCCAAGACAAGTTGTATCCAGCAAATTAATAAATATTTCAGATTTGGAGAAAAGAGACTGACCAAAGGTTCTCATTAATTCCGAGTAACTCCCAAGTAGCAGTTATATTTAAAAGAGGTGATACATCTGTGTTTGTTTAATTCCAATGATCACTTCAGCAGTTGAGCTTAACATAGGTTGTAGCTGAAGAAAGGTGCATTAGGTATGAGAACATTAGGTAGATTTTCAATCAAAAGTTTTTAGTTGCATATATATTTTGGGATGGGTTTGCTTTCCTAGCCTGTGTATTTCAGTTCATTGATATTTAAAGGCCATAATTAGGTATGCAAAGAGATTGGAGATCTTTTTTAAGTTGATGGTCTGGTCTTTTGTTCTATGTTCTTTTTGGCTGGTTTTTCTATTTCTAGTAACATTCTACCTAACCTATGTAAATTCCTGATAAATTTGTCTGCCTTCTGAGTTTCACAGTCAGATATAATTACATAAAGACAAATTGAATTAACCACTTTCACATTATTAACAAATTCAACTAAGGCAATGCATCTAGACATGATACTAGCATAACATGTGTTCTGCATTCTGAACACCCAAACATATCCAACATGCAGCATTTTTCACAGGATATAGGTATCAAATGAAGGCTTCTTACAATTTTGGGACTTGCTCTCACTAGAAACAAAAATGGTCATGCTGTAAAGATCATAACTTCTTTTTAACTAATTCATAAAAGTCAAATACATGGTTCAATGCTTGGAAGCAAAATATGTAAACTAACCTAAAATGAACCCTCCATCGTATGCAAAAAATAGGTATACAAATGGAAACAATGAAAACTAATATGTAATTTGGTACGCACTAAGCTGAAAAAGGAAGGGTTAAGCAACAACATGAATCCCTCCGTAGCCAAATGGATACAACCAAAAGGAGATTAAAATTTGACAACCTAGCAAAAAAATGTCATAATTGCAAGAAATGTCACAATTCACAAGCAACACTGAAGAATCATCGATACCAGTCAAAACCATATCTAGGTTGTCCTTATCCCCTACCCATAGCAAAAAGTCAAGAAAAACTCAAATTCCGTCAAAACAAATCCACTCAAACCCTATAAGAGTCACCAATCGAATTCACCAAAAGAAGCCAAACATGAGATGAAAAAAATTGGCGAAAAAACATACCTGGTGAATAGGTGGGTACATTGAATTAGTACACACAGGACATTCCAGCAACTCATGGACGCTGGTTGCCGGAGCAAGGGCGGTGGGGCCCACAGAATTAACGTTATTGGTGCCTCCATTGCGAGGCTTTGTGGAAGAAAACTCAGAATGATGATGATTGGTGTGGATCTCATCCTCATCCATGCCATCCGAGGATGACACGCACTCGACGCTTTCCAAGTCCATCAACTCACCAAAAACCCCTTTCCACCACTGAAGGTAAAAAGATGAAAAGAGAAACACCCAGTTATCAAAATCCCAAATTTCACCGAATTAATTACCTGGGTCTTCTCCCTTTCTCAATCTTCCTCCTTTAATTCGCTTTGTTCTTCTTTCCCAAAAGAAGAACAAGAACAAGAGAAAGAGAATAGGAGAAGAAAGATGGTGATGGACGTGGATCGGTGAATGGGGAGGATTCCTATAAAACCAAACTCCGTTCTGGTGAAGATCAGGTTCTTTTCTTCGTTGTCTCTCTCTTTCTCTCTCCTTCTCTCTCTATCCTACTGTGAAGAGAGAGAAAGGGGAAGAGAACCGTTAATTTCAGAAATTAGATAGTTCATGCATTCATCCAACGGTAACTAAATTTCTTCTGATTTGTTTACTAAAATAACAATTTCAATTTCACCTAATATTTGTGAATATATTTGTTATTAGTTATTTATTTTGTTAGGTCAAAATAACTGGCTCCTCTTTACTACACAATTTTCAATTTTTCAATTTCAATTTCACTTTCTTCTCAACAATGTGTTTTAGTTCCTCTACTATATAATTGTTATACCAATTATTGCAAATTTGAAGTGAAAACTTGGCATGCAATGTAAGAACTGGATTGGGTTAACTAGACATTTTTCTCTACCCAAACTTTACTCAAAAACATAATAATAATGGTATGAAAAGAAAGAAGGAAAAAGTTTTATTTTTTTTTTCAATTTGAAGCAATGATCATTATGCTGGTGGTCTACTCGATTATTTGTCTATCTCTTCTGAAATAAGTATACGGTGTGTACCTAAAAATAAATTAAGGTTAAGAAACAAAAAAAAATGAAAATATTGTGGTTCAGTTACATTATACCTAATCGAAGTTATATTACAAAGCATTAACAGTTAGGGGTTAATGAAATTGATTTTTGAGAAATGGAGGAAAATGGAAGAGCCAAATGAGATATCTTATTCGTGTGGATGCAAAGCCATAATCAGAGGGAGGATTTAGTTCTCAATTTCTGCACTCTCACCCACTTTTTTAGAACTCTTTTATAATATTATTAAGTAACATGGTGAGAGATAGAGACTTTGGCACGAATTATGAATGTTAACAGGGTTTTGGTACCATTTCACAACTCCATTTTCGGTGCACGTGGCCTGGCTTGCTTTGGTGTTATATATATTTTATTTCATCATTGATATTGCGATAGCAAATCATAAATATAATAAATGTGCTTGGCACATAGAACTCACAATATTGCAATAATGGCATCATTCAAGATTACATCATATTCCACTTTCTACAATATATATATATATATATATATATATATATATATATATATATATATATATATATATATATATATTCATAAGAATTAATAATTTATACTTTCGGATATTTATATTAAAACGAATTTGTCTTATTTTTAAAGAGAGGAGAGTGTATATTTTCATATTGTAATTTAAATACTTATTTATTTTTCCAAGAAACACAAACCAGTGCAAATTAATGTGAATCAATACGCGTAGGTAACATTAACAATTCAAACACTTAAAACGTTAAGTATTCAGCTTAAAGAACATTCTAGAGTTTTAGTGATTTAATTAAATTATTTGTAGATTATTCTTATTAAATATATATTACTTCTAAAAAATAATCTTATACGTGATAAAAAATATAATTTATTTTTAAATAATTAAAGTTATCAAGTCACCAAATTCTGCACTAGTTTCTTCAACTTGAAGAAACCACTTAGACTTGAAACAAATTATGAATTTTATGAACACACACCAAACCCTCTATCTATCTAAACAAAAAAAAAAAAAAAGTTTTGCATATTACTTTGAACCACCCCTCGCACGCCACTTTCACACCCCCATTGGCCTAACCGGCCCAATCCAGGCCACCCACCCCTTCAGGTTTCACTCAAATCACTCTCTCTCACGTCGCTCTATTCCGCGAACAGAGACAACGAACCCTAACGACCTCCGCATGCCGCCGCTGGCACGCCTCCTCGGTGAACCACCCTTTCCCTCAAGTTCCCACTCCGTCGAACCCCAAGTTACAGTGAACCACCTTCCTAACAAACCCCTCACTCAAATAAACCATATTGGGGAAAAGGAGTAAGCTTTATCGTTTCTGGTTTTTGCAATGAGTTCAAATGAATCTAACTTATCTGGTTTCGTGAGAAGGTTCCGATGAGAAGCGCGATGGTTTTGGCGAAGTTGATTCACGGTGGCAACGACGAAGAGGTTGATAGGATGGGGTTAAGAAGTGGCCAATGGCTTTAATATTCTGTTTCAGCTCATGAAAGAGATTTTTTCTGTTTTTCCAGGCAAGCTAGCCCGGTCCAGCCCATTGAAGGGGTGGGCCGAGTCAAATGGACCAGACTAACCAGCATTGACAGCCCTAAATGATACGTCCAAAATAATATGCACTTTTCATCACTAATTCAACAACGGGATATTGCTTGAACGACCGAGTCTGGAATAAAACCAGGAACGAATCTTAATAATTCATTTAAGGATACACATTTTGGTTCCATCAATAATGCCACTCAAATTTTACATACGAATCAGGTATTGCACACTTATAAGTACGTGGCATTTAGTGTATATTAGCTCCATGATCAGTGGTGGAAACGAAACTAACCACGGAGGTGACAGTAGAAAATACTTTGATTTCTGCCCAAGCCACATGGAGCCATATGAATCTAATCTAACCCTTGCATTATTATATTATTCAACAATTGTATCAACTATATATACAAAGATAACAATTATATTTGCAACATGTTACATGCTGGCAACAATGGAAGGAAGTTCTGTATCTGCTTCATGATCTGTGGTTGATGTCTCCCTGGTCTGTGTGCACAAACAGAAGCATGATTAGGAAGTAATTTGATAGAAGCAGAAAGAAAAAACATGTATTACAAATTATACACACCTCTGAATCATTTTTCTGCTCCGTGAGATAACGATCCAATGCCCCCTTACCATAAAGGATTTTAGCCCCTTTCCCACACCCCATACTTCCAACGGCCTCTTCATCGACGACGACAGCATCAATAACATCATCGCCTGTTCTAATATCAGGAATCTGTACAAGTAGTTATACAAGCTAAGATAAATAATATGTATATATATGTATACATTTCATGACGCAGTACAAAATCCAATATGTCCAATTTTTAATGAACAGAAGCTCAACTAATACTTGTGGCACTTCGTTAAAAAGGAGACTGGTGGGGGAGAATCAATCAGAAACATTTTAGTAGAAGAGTTTTTGTGACATCCTTGATTGACAAGATATTTACGGACCACGATAAGCTGATCAAATGACCATTACATAACACTAATTGATAATATAAAATGGTGGATGCATTTAATCCTCTGCTTCATAAATTGGCTGCAAGTGTGAACCTAAATCGTGGAAAGTAGGTAGTTGTTTAGTAGCAGTAGCAATGGTAGTGACAGAGGTTAAAATCATGTAGGTGGGTGCCAAGACCGGGTGCTTGAAAATTGTGCAGTGTCATTAAATTTTACTGTTTTTAATGTTATTAACCCTCTCTAACTCTAAAAGCAAAACGTGCACTCTGTCATACACCACAAACTAATTATTTAATCCAAAAGAAAAGTTATATCCATACCTCATACATAGCATCTACCAACACATTCTCTAAGATTGATCGTAATCCCCGAGCACCAGTATTTTTAGATATTGCTTTTTTGGCAATTGATCTTAGTGCGTTTTCTGTAAAATGTAGCTTTACCTGAAACAATTTACATAATTTCTCTGTCAGAACAGCCATTTCATCACAGCAAGAGTATGATAACCACTCAAAATCCAGACGAGCAATTGATTCCCATTCCTTAAAAATACAATGAACAAGCAAGAAACAAATAAGGACATAAACTTGATGCATTAAGGTTTTGTGCCAAGATATCAGGCCAACCACTATACCTTATCATGCTTAAACCATTGGAAACAAAACGTGTTATCTGTAAAATATACAAGGAATAAAAGGACGCTAGTAAAAACTTACCCCATTCATTTGGAACATCTTCTTGTATTGCTTACCTAGAGCATTCTTCGGCTCTGTGAGGACCTATAGAAAGTTATAATCACTGATGGCATTAGGTAGCAAGAAAAATGACCTTGTAAGGTTAAATAAAAAAATTAAAGATATATTTTTAAGCATATCACATAATTAAATTTACTTATGAAAAAAAAAAGGTTCAAAACATTGCCAGATCAGGCAATACTTTTTGCACGTGAGAATGTCAGTCCTTCTGACCTTTTAACCATTTTCCATTCAATTATTTAATCAATCAATGCATACATAATCAACTACATACATGAAAGTGATGAAGATCTCATTGAATCATTTGATTAAAAGAAGATCTTGTTAATTTGATGAAGTCAAAGACTAATCTGATGAAGTCAAAGATTACTTGGGTTAAAAAGGTAAAGTGATTAGTGAATCTGCATCTATACATAGGTATAATCATTCATATCTCTCTGCTGCATGAGGTTTCATCTTTTAAAAGAATTTGAAAATGCCTCTAAAGATGTTTTTAATCCATTAAAAATCAAAGTAATTAGTTAAATTGTTTTTAGCAAATTGTTTTAACCGATATTATATAAGCTTTATTAATTAACATATTCTTAAAACTTACATAACGAGTTTTTCATCGATAAGTTTTCGAAATAATCGATTAATATCTTTTAAAACATTCACTGGAACTGTTTTAATCGATACACTTTCGAATTAATCGATTATTTTCATTAAAGAAGTTTTTGAAAACCTTATGTTAGTGTTCTAACTGATATAGTTTCGAAATAATTGATTAAAATCACTTAAAATGTTTTGGAAAGTGTTCTGACAATATTTTAATACATACAAACTCGAAACAATCGATTAAAATAACTTGAAGTGTTTTGAAAGATGTTACGTTAGTATTTTAATCGATGTAAATTCGAAATAATCGATTAAAACAACTTGAAATATTTTGAAAGGTGTTCTGTCGAATTTTAATCGATGTAAAATCGAATTAATCGATTAAAACAATTTAAGGAAATTTCTGCTAACTGTTTTAATCGATTAAAACTGGTCGTTATCGCTTAAAATCACTTAGAAAGTTTTATGAAAATATTTGGCAGAATTTTAATCAATTAAATTGCGAATTAATCGATTAAAACAACTTAAAGGATTTTTTGCCAAGTGTTTTAATCGATTGAAACGTTGTCGTATCGGTTAAAACAAATCTGAAAAATAATCAAGAATATTTTAACAGATTAAAAGAAGTTTTAACAGATTAATTCAAGACTTTTAACAAATTAAAATATTGTTTTAACAGATTAATTAAATCAGCAGTTAGAACAAATCTCTATATAAACAGGATTTCTTCAGTCTTTTAAAATATACCTTTGAGCAATCAATCAAGCAATCATAAGTGAAGTTTTTCAAGAAAGAATCGCGCAAGTTTTGTGGTGTTTTTGAAAGTTCTTTCTTGATGCATTTTTGCATTGTTTTTGTGAAGAAACTCATACTGCAGGGACTGCATAATCCGGGTTAGATTGTTCTGGTTTCTTCTCTTTTGCTTTCTTTCATTCTTTGTTGTTTTGTCAGTGCCTGGAATTGTTAGGCACGGTCTCTGTGGCTGGAATTTGGCTGCAAGTTGGTTCAAGAACTGGAAGTTGGTTATTGGTGAAGGTTTAGGTGCAAAGACTGGAATTTTGGTTCTTGTGGTAGATTGGGTGTGTGATTGAAATCTGAAATCTGTAAAACATTCAATCTAGTGGAACTCAGCTGGAATTTGGTTGAGAATTGGACATAGCCCTGGGATTGGGTGAACCAGTATAAATCTTGGTTGTACTCCTCTAAACCTTACTCTCTTTAATTCTGATGCTGCCTTTATTTTAATTGCTTGTTTTACTTGATTCAAGAATTGGTCAGAACTCTTAATCTTTGAAATAGATAATCTATAAATTGCAAAAATCTTTCAAAGATCAACTCACCCCTCCTCTTGATCTCAGCCTCTTTTTCTAACAATTGGTATCAGAGCAAGGGTCTTAAAAAATACACAAGATTTTCGGTCCAAATCTTTTATGGCTGAAAACAAATTACCTTTTTCTGAGGGAGTTTCTATGACCTCCACTGTTTTGTGGTACAGATTATCCATTTTGGAAGATTAGGATGAAGATCTTTATTGAATCTATTAATAAAAATGTTTGGGATGTAATTGTTAATAGTCCATTAATTACAGAAAAAGAATGGTCTAGCTTAAATGATGAAGAGAAAAGAAAAGTTCAAAGTGATTGTACTGCTAAAAACATAATTATTTATGCACTAAACATGGATAAGTTTTTCAAGGTTTTTCAATGCAAATCTGTCAAGAAAATGTGGGAAGTTCTTGAGGTAACGACTGACGTAAAGAGAGCTAGAAAGCATACTCTCATTAGAGAATATGAGCTGTTTAAAATGCAAATCGGAGAAAATATTGCAGATGTGCAGAAACGCTTCACTCACATCATCAATCATCTAATGAGCTTAGCTAAAACTTTTGATAAAGAGGAATTAAATATAAAAGTTTTGAAATGTCTTGACAGATCATGGCAGCCTAAAGTCACAACAATATCATAGTCAAAAGACTTGTCCATCATGACAATAGCCTCTTTATTTGGCAAACTCAAAGAACATGAGATGGAAATTAACAGATTCAATGAGCAAGAAATTTCTGAAAAAAAAGGGAGAAGCATAGCACTCAAACCTGAAGAGAAAGATCAAGAAACTGAAAAAGAAAGTGAAAATCTTGGATTGCTAGTCAAAAAGTTCAATAAATTTCTCAAGAGAAAGATCCAAGATAAAGAAAGGCATAAAAGGTATGAAAAGAAATCTGATTTTTTTAACTATAAGTGCTATGGTTGTGGTAAGCAGGATCATGTAAGGATGGAGTGTTCAGAAAAGAACAAACACAATGACAAGAAAGAAGAAAAGATCAAAAGGAGAACATACATAGCATGGGATGACAATGATACTTCATAAACAGAAAATTTTGATGATGAAAAAGCTAACTTGTGTCTAATAGCTAATCAGAATTATCAAACTAACAGTGTAAGTTCAAATTCTTCTTTTAATTTCATGAATTATAACTCACTGTAAGAAGCATTTAATGAAATGCATGAAGAAACCAAGAAACTTAAAAAAGAAAATGATAGGCTAAAAGACATGAACAACTGATGTAAACATGACCTATGATAAGGACTAGAACAAGGAAAATAAAGGAAGTTCTTCAACAAATATTGTTGGTTGACCAAATTATGTTTTGAATTAATCAATTAATAGACTTTAGTTTGATTTTGTTTTAAGTTGTAATAAGGGCCCAATTGAAAATTTAGTCATCAGTCTTTGGGAGACCAAGGGGTGCATAGCTGATTGACTTTTGGTTGCCACAGTTTCAGATACAATCAGTCATTAAATAGTTTCAATTCCTAAGTTAATGAATCATTATTAGTCTTTATTTGTTTTCATTAAATAGTTTTCAATTCCTAAATTAATGGGTTATTATTAGTATTTATTTTTTTTTTATTGAGTCTTTTGTAATTCTGATGGCAACGCTTCTATATCAACTGAACCATTCTTATCAAGAAATAACAAGTAAAATTTTATTCAGAAATATTAGAGTTTATCTCTTTTATCTTAGTGAGAGTGATTCTCCTAAATTCTTAAGTGATTCAAGAACCCTTGGTTGTATCAAAGGACTGTCACATCCTTTGTGTGTTGCCTCCCTTGGGAAGAGTGATTCTTTCCTTTCACTTTCTTTCTAATTCCTAAATTTCTTACAAGATTTTAACCCTAAAGATCTTAAATTACCCCTTGTGATTCATATCATTTGGTATCAGAGCACCGGTTTAAGGGTTTAAACATCAAATTGATGGCAGAAGAGGAAAATTACAATCAAGAAGCAGGAATTAGTCCATTTCAAATGAGAGTATTGGTACAACATTTGGAAGGATTAATGATACGACATAACAATGAGTTCCATGAAAGATTGAACCGGTTGGAGAATAGAAATTCTGAAGACGAAGAAGAAAGGAGAAATAGGAGAATGAATGATGAAGTAGCAAGACCAAGTAGGCTTGAAGGAGTCAAGCTTAACATTCCTCCGTTCAAAGGAAAAAGTGATCCTGAAGCATACTTGGAGTAGGAGATGAAAATAGAGCATGTTTTCTCATGCAACAATTATGAGGAGACTCAAAAGGTGAGGCTTACAACAACGGAATTTTCTGACTATGCTCTTGTTTGGTGGAACAAACTACAAAAGGAGAGAGATAGAAATGAAGAGTCAATGGTTGATACATGGACTGAGATGAATGGGATCATGAGGAAGCGGTATGTGCCGGCTAGTTATGCAAGGGACTTGAAATTTAAACTCCAAAAACTTACTCAAGGCAACAGGGGGGTTGAGGAGTATTTCAAAGAAATGGACATGCTCATGATTCAAGCAAAGATTGAAGAAGATGAAGAGGTAACTATGACCCGATTTATTGGTGGTTTGAATATTGATATATGTGATATTGTTGAGTTGCAGGAGTTTGTTGATATGGAGGATTTACTTTATAAAGCAATTCGAGTGGAGCAACAACTCAAAAGAAAAGAAATGACTAAGAAGAGTTCTTCCAACTTTGGATTTTCAAGTTGGAAGGACAAAGGCAAAAAAAATGGGATTGTTACTTCTAGTAGTTCCACACCTATTCCTACAAAGACTCATTCAAAATATGAAGAACAACCCTCTAAAAAAAGTAGAGATGTGAAGTGTTTCAAGTGTCAAGGCCTAGGACACTATGCTTATAAATCCTCTAACACAAAGACCATGATTCTTAGAGAGGGAGAATATATAAGTGAATTTGAGGTTGAAGAGGGAGAAAAGAGTGAAGACACTGAGGAGGAGGAGATTCCAAAGGAAGATTTATTGTTGATTAGACGATTACTTGATAGTCAATTGAAACCTATGGAAGAAAGTCAAAGAAAAAATATTTTCACACTAGATGTTTAATCAATGACAAAGTGTGCATGATGATCATAGATGGAGGTAGTTGCATCAA